TAAGAACTCAGACATATAGCTAAGAAAACCTAGAAACTAAGTGTACCTAGTAACTTATCTGCGGCCTAAACCTACCAAAGTGGCCAAAGCTCACCTAGATAAAATATAGTATAACTTTAATATATCATAATGTATAAATTAATATCATTGCCTTGTTTTTTTCAATAAACCAGCAATAAAAATTATTCTTATTTATATATGGTATTATATGAAAGTATTATTCAAAACTAAAATCCGCTTTTATTCTAGTTTTTGTAGCTGAAACAAGATTTGGTGAAAATTTTTTTTTTTATATCGCAATTTATTGATGATCTAATTTGTTACTTTTGATTGGATTATCTTTGATCATCAATCTATTTTTAGAATATGAACTTTTCGAAGAATTGTTTTTTTCAAAGTAAAAATCTCAATAATTTATTATATCAATATAGAGTAAAAAGTAAAATACATATAGATAGAAACCGGCACTTTAATTTGAATCAAAAATCTCAAAATTGATGAAAAAGTGTCAAAGGTGAGTTTTTCTAGTCTATGATCCAAATTTCGGGCTTAAGATTATTTCTGGCCCAAAAATTTTAGATTGTAGTATATCAAAAATTTTCTATATATTTAGTATATAAAAATGCTCTTTATGACTGAAATTCCATACCGAAAACTTTTATTTAAAGATCAGAAATTAGTTAGCATAGTAAAATTTTGTGTTATTTACAATTTTTGCATTTTCTTATATTTTTTGCATTTGTTTTGTTACACAAGATCCTGTAATTTTATTGAATCCGATCTACAAAATTTATGATTGAAAGTAATCTTTAGCGATTTTCAGCCTGGAATTTGCTTGACATAAGAGTACCTATATACAATCCGGATACAATATATGATCCAGATACAATATAAATCCAAATATAATATATAATCTGGATATAATATACAATCCGGATACAACTTATAATCCAGATACAACTTATAATCCAGATACAATATAAATCTGAATATAATATATAAACCAGATACAACATACAAACCAGATATAGTACAACATATAATCCAGATCAATATAATCTGGATATAAGTGCTGCCAAAGTCATTGGGCCTTCATATTGGACACAATTCCCTAATAATTATAAGATATTGGTTATGCAATGATTAATATTATCATATAATCCAATATCGATGTTATCGTACAATTATGATTATGATTTTCAAATCTTTAATTCGAGATTTGTGTGCTTATATAATAACGTACAAAAAATAACAAGAAGAAAAAAATCTATGATCATGAGTTTGCATAATAATTAGATAGATTGTGTTTGGTTAATATAATTGAAAGCCCGATAACTGGTTTTAATATATATATGGATATATTTAAACAAAGTTTAATAACATAATAAAACTTTGAATATTTAAACTTCGTGTATATCATATACGAATTTATGTCTTATATAATCAAAGTGATACAATATATAAATAGATTCTATTATACTTTGTACAACTATTAAAAAAATGTCTTCTCAAGAACATTTAATATTGCCAATATATTCAATATCACCGACGCCTTCAATAGAAGAAGTCTCTTGGGCACTACAAGAAAACTCTGTTTCTAGTTCTGCTTTATCTAGTAATGACATAAATAATAAAACTAGCAGAGCTAATTTGCAGGCCACAGGTTCTAACCAAAAAAAAAAACGAACTAAGAAAATAAAGTCATCAATCTTCATACCTACTCCAATAACAAATGAAAGAGCCAATGCGCTTTTTTTTAAAAATTGATAAGACAGATGATCAAATTAAATACTGTAAAATTTGTATTAGAGAGTTAGAAGGGATCTGTAAAGCACCATATCCATATACTAATTCAAATAGAAGTACTGGACATTTAACATATCACCTTCATGATAAGCATGAAATTACTGCAGATAACTACAAAGAGTATCTTGATTCATCTCAAGAAGTAAGTATTTAATCAAATATGTGTAGCACTAAGAAAAAATAGAACTTCAATCATATAAAATTTATATGATTAAAGTTCTAATTCTCTTGGCATTACTCATATATAGGGGGATTTCAAACACCAACTAAAATAAATTTAATTATTTTTTAAAATATATAATTATTTTATAGCCAATAGTTAAAGTGAATCAGATCACAAATTATATTACCCATTTGCCTCCGCTTTCAGCTAAATGACAAAATAAATTTACTAAAGTTCTAGTAGAATTTATTATAGCCAATGTACAGTCTTTATATATATTGCAAAATTCATCTTTCTGACAGTTACTTTTAGAATTTCAACCACAATATAGAATACTCTGCACAAATACTGTTAAGAAATTTATTTCAGAAGCGCATTCTAAAGAGATAAATCAGCTTCAAGAAATATTAATCAATAGCGCCACTGTTGTTCACTTAACAACGGATTTGTGGACCGCAAAAAGTAACTATGGTTACATTGGGGTTACTGCAACATGGCTTACTCCAAATTTTGAACTTAGAGAAGCATTATTATCATGTCATCATATGCCCTACCCACATATCGGTGTAGACATAAGTAAAGAACTTTTTAGTATAATTAATGAATAGAGCTTAAATGATAAAGTATATATGATTGTCACTGACAATGGTGCAAATGTAGTGAAAGAAATAGAATTATTAAAAGACAATTATCTAGTAGAGGTTTGTCGGCAACCTTGTGTCATACACACTCTTCAACTTTCTGTGAAGCAAGGATTGAAACAAGTTAATCATATTCACCAATGTTTTAAAAATATTCAAGCATTTTTTTGCCTACCCAAGCAAATACAACGGTTACAGAAAATGCAAATATGACATATTTCTGCAGAATTTCAGAGTATTGATAATAATAATAGGTTAATTAACTCTCTTGAAGTATTAAGTGACTATAAGATATGGTGGAACTCGGCCTACTTGGCCTGGAGAAGAATACTAGAATTGTATCTAATAATGTATTCACTAGCCGCATTGTTACAATACAAGCAAGATTCAATATCAAGAAAGGACAGAGAGAAACTAGATCAATTGTGTTTAAATTTTAAAGAAAAAAAGTATTTAACTAATTCGACTAGTATCTTGTATTATAGCTCTATTATTATTACTATTATTTTAATAATGTATATATTAAGACTCATAGATGAAATGGTTGGTATTTTAAAGCCTTTCGAAGAAATAACAAGACATTTTTTGGATCAAAATATTCTACAATAAACCTTATATATCCCTATGTTTGTATGTTGAAAAATAAGTATGCACTAGTAGTTGAAAAAGACGAATCTGTTGAAGATTGATTAGATTTAATTTATGGATCGTCATTAGAAAGTTCAGATGAAGATACAAGCATTAGCAGTGGTAATAAAGGTAGTATACCATCAGCTAGAAATAGGAAACAGTGGCAGTATGCACATAGAAGTATATATAGTCAAGGTCAGAGTCAGAGTTGTAAACATATTAAGCATAAAAGACATGATATTAAATATTTTTGTATATGTACATTATGATTCATGTTTTTTGTTCTAAATAAAATATAATTAAACAATTATTATTGTTATTAAATATAAAGCAAACTGTACTATTGAATTAGATGATACAAATACTATAAAATATTTACCATCTACAAACTGCGAAGGACTTCTAGAAAAAATGTGCGCTGCAATTTACTTATCTCTCAATGAATTATAGAGTATCCCTAATGAAGTAGGATTAAAAGCTTCTATGTTGGATCTGCAAATATTAAAGTTACTTCCATTTGCGACTAATGAGGAATGTAAAAACACAGAGTCACAACTTTATGAAAAATTATTAGTATTAGAAGCTCAATTTAATCAGAATAATGATAATTTAGGTGCTGCTATTACTGTAGAGAAGGAGAAATATGATTCTTTAAGTGCCGAATTATGGGGCTTGTTTGCAATACCCAATTCAAAAGCTGTTGCTGAAGATGAGCTAACATGATATTTGAAAGAACAAATTGCTCATAAGAGCCAAGATCCTTTAATATGGTGGAGAGAAAAACATACAAATTATCTTCTACTTTGCCAGCTTGCTCACAAATATTTATCCATTCACGCAACATCAGTCCCGTCTGAACACTTATTTTCTGATGCAGGTACTCATGTATCAGCAAGAAAAACTCGTCTTGCACCAGATTTAGTAGACAAAATGTTATTTTTGAAAAAAAATCAGTCATTCTTAGAAAATAAATAATTTCGGTTTGTCTGTCTTTTTTTGGTGTCTTTAATATACTGTAGAATAATATAAGAGAAAAATAGTATTACTGAATAATTAGATTGTGCGATTTTATTTCCACTATATAGAATAGTTTTAGATCGATCTTTAGAGAACTATACTAAATTTAAATAAATATACAGTATAATCCAGTGATGGTAAATGACCTGAAATGACCCAAATGACCCAAATGACAAATGACTAGTCATTGGGTCATTTCGAGACCCAAATGA